AAATAATCTAAAAAATGATTTATGATACAATACATGTATAGCAATTTAGAAGTATCCTGAAATTTTTTCTTGCTAAATTCACAAAATTAAAGCATGTATAAGTAGCTACTGAAAGAAGTCAAGCAGGATCGTTCAAAAATATCAATACTAAATCAAAAATCAAAAATCAAAATATGCACATTTTCAGACAGTAAGTACTGCCGAGTGTAAAAAAAAGAAATTCAATGCTTTTAAAATAATAATTCATCAGACGTATTCACATTGTAATTAAATTATATATTATTAAGTATGTTCTTTTTGTTATACTTCGAAAGTACGATTACACATTATCTTTAAAAAGAAAACAAATTACTTTTTGAGTATAAAATAATTTGATACCACTGGTTTTGTTCAAGACATTCTGTAAATTCTATTATATCCCTTGGTGAAAAATAAACGTTACATTAACGATGTTCACATGAAAATTAACATAGTTGTCGTAAAATAAGATTGCATAGTCGACAAATATATGATCCGTTGATAGTTTTTCTGTTTCTTGCGTCAAAATCAAACATAATTGAACAACACTGTAAATTCAACTAGTAACATGACTTCTGCTTTCTCTTAATATTGTTTTCAGAAATCTTTTTGCATCAACAGAACATAAACTTCGACCTAAACATATAGAATTTCATGAAACAAACAGTTCAATTTTATTAACTAAAAAAAGAAGTAGAATGGTGGTATTTATTTTATCATAAATAATCTCATGTTTCAACTTGGTCATTCATTTTATGTACGAATCAGTAGTGACTAACAATTGAGTTAAGCTGAGCATCTCATGATTCATTGATCCTTTCGTAGTGTAGACTCAGAAGAAATACAATTGGAAAAGGTAAAACAATTTAAAATGTTTTGCCTGCAGTAATAATAAAAATAGTTAATCAGTGAAAAGATCAGAGATTGGTAGAAATAATTATCAAATAGTTGAAAACATTGTTTTATGTCAAGACAATTCTTTATTTTGATACTAAAATTAAAGTTACTGTTTGATGTGATTCATTGTGTTCTACAATCGTGTTCTCTTTGATAATCATCAGCAATTTTTTTTACGTGTTGAATTTTCATCAATATCATTTTCTTGCATAAATATAAATTTTATGTATTCGTTTGTGAGAGTTTCAGTAATTTTTGATTCGAAAAAATGAAGTTCAGTCAAACTATGAAAACAACGGATTAGATACAATATAAAATACAAGAACTGATAGTTTCATTATGTTTTGATTTTTCGAATAGTACAGTCGGGAATTAGACTAAATTGAAAAATTTGATAGTTCCTCATTTTATATGCAGACAAGTTAAACTATCTTGAAAGGGCGATTCCTTAACGACGTTCAGGTTTCTTGGTTATTTTATTGAAATCTAAGGTGTTTAGATTTTGAAACCTTTGCTATTTTTTCTTTGATTCTTTCCCTTACACATAACTATGACTCGTAAATATATTGTTCGCTGAATTTTGATGTTAATTCAAATGTTTTTATACATTGTTAAACAAATAAACATAAATTATGATTATTTCAACTGAAAACAACAATTACTGAGCTTTGTTTACTCAATATTTTCATCGATATCATCATATTTTTCAGTTCGTAATGCATGTGATCATATTCGATATTTCATTTTTTTAGAAGAAAAGCTTCAATTGATTTTAACAATTGTTCTTTGAACATATGTATGACTTTGATATAATTGTTTTAACTAAAATGAATCGAAGAAAACTTCCGTTGAGTTCAACTACAAGCAAATGATGATTGTGGTTCATTGTTGTATATTTTTCTCTTTTCAATCTACATTGATTATTATTTTTAGTTGCAGTACTTGAACTTCGAAAACAGCCATAAGAAATCCATTGGAAATTTAAAAAAATGCGCGAGAAGAATTAGCTATAGCAGAAGAAAATGACGAACGAATTGAAGGAAATCGTCTTTGTTGAGACGATTGAAATTAATTTGATTTTTATAACAATTAATTGTTTTTCAAAGGATTTATTTTTTACTCCTATTGATAATGATTTTCTTTTAGCTATAGTCGAACTTGTTTTTTCAGCGATAACTGGCTTTTTCAAATGCATGATGCAGCTTGTTTTCTTATTTTCAAAAATATATACAGATCAATGCATATATTTTGTCTTAGTAATATACACCTATAGGTGAGATGTTTTCTTAGATTATAAAAAATGATCTCAATCATAGAGAATACCTAGGTCGATGATTCCGGACTCCGAAAGCGGAAGGAAACGACGCAATTTCTCGATACTTCCGGTGGTTTCCAAGTACATTACAACCGAAAACGAACCGGAAAACTATCCGGAAAGTGGAAGCAGTATTCCGTTTGGAAATCACCATATTGTAACCGGAATATTCCGCACTATTCCCGCCACCATAACCATTGAGAAAAATTCCCGGAACCGACCCGTGATCAAAATGAATACAAATGGAACACGCGACGGAACTAAAGAAATCCGACCGATTCCAACTGGAAAAATTCCGGAAGTTCCAATTTTCTTGAAATCATGCGCAGATTTTCCGGCACCGCCACACCTCGTCATCCTGGATCTGGATAGTCGCACCCGCAAAAAAGTAAATTTCCAACCAGCTTCCCTAATGCCAATAATCTCATGCGCTGCTTCAAAACCATTCACTATACCATAGCAAACGCAAACAGATCCCAACCTGACTACTATAAACTGCAGGTATTTCGAAGACTTCTTCCTCGAAATCAACGGAGAAAGACCCTTGAAAGTATTTTTAATTCATTACCTCCCATTTGAGGGAGTAGCTGTCTAATTCGAGTTCGAATATAAATGGAGAAAAAAGTTAAACTAAAACTATCGATATATGCGACATATTAATACATTTATACCCTTCACTCGCACCCACATTTGAGCATTCCTCCATAGTAACCATCATCAACACCCACATTTAAAGTATCCCTCCTACCTACTCCTTCACTCGTAACGCCACCCACAGTTACCACTTTACCCCCTCAACCCACACCCACACCCCAAAACAGTCTTAAATTTTCGAGAAAAAAAAATACTTAAGAAAGTTGGATATTTAAGAGCTTTGTAATATATTTTCTCCAAAACTTCGTAGTGCTATTTGAAATCAAACGTTAGTATATATTTTTCTAGAGAATTTCATGGCTCGTCATTTTTTGAAAATCGGCTCATTTCTTCTGGACCACCGGTTAGTTATCTATATGGAATAGACTCAAATTTTTGATAATGAAAAGAAACATCTGATGAAAATTAGTATAACTGGTATTTGCCACAGCTTCTTTTTTTGAATGTTGTGAAAATACATGGTTATTTTTTTCTTAAATTTCATCCGATGAGGTTTTTTTGAATCAACTAAGCAATCTGATGGTTAATGTTTATTATACAAATATAATTCTTTGCTAAGATAAAACTCTTTGCTAAGATAAAATTCATTAAATACTTAGTAAACAGTAAGAAAAAATCTGTGAACATGAACATCTATTTTGTACTCTTTCAATATCGATGAAATAGTATAGTCATTCTCAATTAGATCTCTGTCAATAATAAAAAGTCGCCTAACAATCTTCATAAATCATTTGATGAAATAAACTAAAAAATATGTTTCTTTAGCCGATGAAAATCAATTAAATAAATCGGAACAAAATTTTCTGTTTGTAACGAACATATCGATGGATCAATCTCGGAGAAAACGACTACCATAGAAACAGTATCTAAAATCTATATTGATTTTTATGCCATTGAAGATATTGATGATCAGTTCAATGAAATAGATAAATAAATAATTCTTTTTCAAAATAATTATATTCTTCAAATAGTCAATAATGATGAGTGTCTAAAAATCGATTCATAGTAGATTTTCGAATACCAATAACAAAGAATGAATTTTATTTTGGATCCGAATCGGCTTAACAGATGCAAATATAGTCAAAACATTAATTGAAGTAAAAATTGTTGTTAATGAATATACATTGGGTGGCATTTACACTTATTAAATGAACCATTTCTCTATTTAATATGATTCTCTTTCTAGAACGGCTACATGGAGATTATACTTTGTCAGAGAATGACAAATGGTATTTAGGTTGATACCGTAGTCAGTTAGGGTTTGATTCAGACCTGCATTTATCGAATCAGGCAGTTATTACATGTCGCCAGAAAATTATAACCATATAGTATTCATCAAATTCTTACGAAAATTTTTTGCAAATTCAGTTATTATTGAACCTATAAATAAGCTTCTGTTCTTCGTGATTACAATACACGATGTTATTCCACAAGATCGTTTAAAAACTTTGTTAAAATCAAGTTAAATTTGATGATGGTCCATCATTAATTCTTCTTAAAAAATCTTCTGATCATGTACAAGGACACCAATTATCACACCCACATCCTACTACTATGCAATGTGAAAAATGAGTTCACTTAAATAATTTCGTTGTGTAACGCCTACAATCATTTTTTGTCCTATGTTGGATACCATATAATATTTATACACCGAATTTCGTGTTTAGTAAAAATGGATCTTCATTCATATACTGCCAATCAGTTGATATTTTCAATTATGGTGTCATTCAAGAACATGGAAAGTAAAGATAACAATATTACAGAAAAATCTATACAATAAAAAGAAAGAAAATTAAAATGCTTATTTTATTTCAGTGCTTTCTATTGCCTATCACTATGATAACAGTGAGACGTTATTTTATGCATAAGAAAAGTAACTGCACCTTTAAAACTAACCTGTCCGATGCTATAGTCATAGTTATCTTCATCTATGTATGCAAACTTATGTAACTATCTGATAGATAATATCTGACTTCCACATCAAACAAAGCAAAATATCATTATTATGTTCTATATTAAAAGACAACCTTTTAAATATAATTATTCGTTTGACATAATCAAATGCAAAATACATATTGAAAAATCACAGAAATAGTAAAGGAAAATTCAATGTTGCTTATTGATCAACTGGTTTAGCAGAAGAATGTAATGTAATTGCCGAGACAAAAGTATTGCAATCCAACTTAGCAGTAGCATTGCTCCATTTGCGTACAAACACATTCGGTGTAGGTTCATGAGCATCTTCCAATGGAACGCCATAATCAGTTTCGAATCCTTCCTTCCACCATGTATTCGGTGTAAAGAATAGCCAATAATCACCACGTGCTATTAAAAATGCAGCTAATTGTTGTGGAAGATCTTTGCAAAGTTCCCATGCAGCAGAGCATGACTCACTGTACATTCCGGGAAATGTAACTGGTACATTTTTCATAGTCATTGCAGTTCGCATTTTTTCTGCGCATCTAGCTGGTGTATCTTTAATGTTCGGAATACTGGGAGTTAACCAAGCTTGCCATGCATGTTTTTTATATTTCAGTCCAAGTTCCCATGCTCGATTTAAGGATACTTGCTGAGCTGCATCGACAGCCTGTCGATAAGCTTCAGTATAATTTGGATAGTTGTGTCGTTCTTGCCAAATACCTCCATCATCATCGTAAAAAAGCCCATCAACAATGGATTGGTTAAACGCACTACCAGCATAAGAATTTACAAAATAATCTTGTACGGCTGAATTTCTATGATCCCAACAGAACTGATCCTGACGATAATGATCAATCATTCGAGAATCATTGTAAATGGTACCATTGGGATATAAAACAAACCAATCAGTTTTCGTCGGATCATACATGACCTTCGCACCAGTATCATAGATATTAAGTGCAAGTTCAGCATTACGATAGACGAATACACGAGTTTTGGGATTAACAGCTTTAATAAGAGCTGCTTGTTGAGCTAATGTTTCTTCTCGATGATTCGGAAGACCAAAATGGTTAATCCAATCTATACCTACTACACCATGTAATGCTGCGAAGGCAAGTGTTTGATTATTATAGAAGCCTTCACTTGAATAGAAATACTGTTGCGTCGACAATTGCATATTGTACGTCGGTGGCCACGGAGGTAGAGGACACGGTAATCGCCATGATATAGGACATGGTCCAAGTTCACATTGAGTACGTATTATGAGCTGTGTGGAGAGAACAATTAAAGCAGCCAAGAAATGCATACTGATAATCGATTCGATGAAGTTTTAACCTCTTCAAGATGATTATATAGAAATCCAAATGATAAAAAAAGAAGAAGCAAGCCTATACAACTTTTCATTCGAATGAATACAGATTTTGAACTGAACTGCCTTTATCTCCTAGTTTGAATCAATCAAAAACACACTTTTACCTATGATCATACCAAGCCGGAATTTTGAATATGGAAACGATATATAAATAACTGGTTTGTTATATACTAGCATTCATGATCAGATACAGAAGCAGGTAGATATGTAACTAGATAGAGAGATAGTTGGGGACATAAATAGATTTCTATTTACCTACCTATTTTTACATCTCGTGGTCGCTAGATTAGTAGATATAATGTTTTTTTTCTTCGCATATTGTTGACAATTAATTGCAGCATTAGTAAAGAAGATAATGAAGTTACACAACCCTGAAAGATATCACTGCTATACTAAAGCAAAAGATACTAAAAGAATTGCATGTAGTTCGAGTATATCGAAAAAAGGTGTCTTGGGAGTGGATTTTCTGTACCATGTTCTGCCATGCTCGGTTCAAGACAGCAGGATCTTATGAAGTACATGATGAATTAACAAACTATTTTATTCGTAATTTCTGATCGAGTTTCAAAGTTGCAAGGTTTCTTTTTATAACACATTTCAAAATATTACTAACTTAAATAGATGAGTCTCAAGAAAAATCTAGATAAATAAACTTCATGAGAGAACACCCCATCTAAGACCCAATGAGCACTAGAAAATTCTGTTTTCAATTAATGAACGTGCTTGACAGTTTATTTAAAAATAGATCATTGCTTATAGGAAATAACACTTTTCGTCAATCATGTTTTTAACAACTCAAAGGATTGTATTGTTCGCTTAGTTTTATCAAAGTTGAACAAAATATTTGGATTTTTTGGTGTATCTGTCAAAATGTCTTGATGAAGTTCTTCACTTCAAAAAAGTATTCGATTATTTTGGAGTTCTCAATGGGATCCAAAATCGCACCCTTTTTTTTACCAATTACTCAGGAAATCTTTAGAATTTTGTTCAAATCTACGAAAAACAGGCACTTTTTCGTAATCTTATTTTCTCCATTTGAAAACCGCTCCGCGTTTGACAGCTCTACAAGGAAAAATATCTGCTTATCAGTCAGAAACGTATCTAACGTAAATCATTTCAATATTCAAATATCCATCACTTGAGCATATTCTTATCTTTCCAATCCAAACAACTCCAAAAGATAATATAAAAGATATCACTTATGTCACCATCAACATGATTAGTCAAATCTTTCTGGCCTAAGATTATAAGATTTTCCAATGGAGCTATGGTCAGTTGAAGTAAAGCTATATACTTGCGGGTAAATCCAATAATGAGGGTGTGGGTGTGGGTGTGGGTGTGTGTGTGTGGTGTGGGTTTGGTTGCCGCTCTCTCGTAACACCGACAGCCAAACCGACACTCACATCTAGACCCAGGCCCTCATACCCACACCCACACCCTCAATAAGATCCATCGAAAATCGAAATAACCAATCAAAGAAAGGTCTTGAATGGAAAGTTTGATTAGAAGAAGCATTGCAAGTAAATGTACGCAACGATGATCCGCCAGCGACAGCAAATAATAATGCATCTCGAGTATCTTCACTAATTGATATAGATTGGAAAACAACGAGAGAAACAAGTTGAGGAAATATCGGTTCTATAGACTTGCTATATGTCATTAAGATACGAAAGATATCTTTCGATGAATTATTACCTGATATTCCTGACCTAGCAAA